GGCCGCGCTCTGGGGCCACCGCAGGCTTAGCGAAGCCCCGCGGCTCACCAGCGGCCCCCACCTCCTCTTCTGGGCTGAACTAGGGCCGGGGGCGCCAGGCCAGGCGGTTGTCCAGAGGTGTGTGCCCACCAGGAAGGAGCCAGCGCCCTCCAGGTGACCCCAGGACCCACGGGCGCCAGGTCACTATTCTGATGCTGTGGCCGCAGGGCTCAGCCCTAACTGGGCCTCTGAAAGGGGGGCGGGGGGGTGGGAGCGGGGCAGCCCTCCCTGGGAGCCCTGCGGCAGACCCTGCGGCTTGGGGTGTGCGAAGGAGCCCGTGGTCTATGCGCCATCTCTCAGCGCCCGAAGCCCACGCGTGGCCGGCGCCCTCACCGCAGTCCAGTTCCTCAGGGGTGACGGTGGCCACGGAGCGCCCCTGCACGTGCCGGGGGTGCTCGCACGTGGCAGCGGCCTGCGCGTTCCCGGACCGCGCGTAGGCTCGGAGCAGCTCGGCCAGCCACAGGGTTCCGCAGTCGCAGCGCAGCGCGTTGGAGTCCAGGCGCCTGCGGGCAGCGGGGCAGGGCTGGGCGCAGGGGGCCGGGGCAGGCCGCGGGGCTGGTCTGCGTGCTCCAGGGCACCAGCCGCACTCTGCACCCCTCCCGCGGGCCAGGGGACTCACAGCCTTTTCATGGACTCCAGGTGGCTGAACGTCCCGGGAGCCAAGTGTGTGATCCGGTTGTTATGCAGGAATCTGGGGAGCACAACAGGCTGTGGAGACCCCAGGGACAGGGCGGCCACCCCACCAGGCCTCTGCTCCCCGCTCCGCGAGGCTGCGTGTGAATGCAGTGACAGCTGGGATCTGTGTCCACTTCGCCCTGGGCAGTAAGAGAAGCCCCGCCGACGGACACCTGCTGGGGAGCATGGGGGGGCCTGGGGGAAGGAATGCCCTGAGGGGAGGGTCATCCTGCTGAGGAGAGCCGGGCCAGCAGGGGGAGGGCAGCCGGGTGGCACCCTGTGGGGGGAGGGGAGAGGGGGTGCCATGCAGGGGAAGGGGAGCCAGGGGGCGCCCTGCGGGGGGAGGGGAGAGGGGGTGCCATGCGGGGGAAGGGGAGCCAGGGGGCGCCCAGCGGTGGGAGGGGAGCTGTGGTGCCCTGCAGGGGGAGGGCAGCCGGGTGGCACCCTGTGGGGGCAGGGGAGGGGGGTGCCATGCGGGGGGAGGGGAGCCGGGGGCGCCCTGCAGGGAGGCAAGCAGCCACTTACAGCCTCTCCAGCTTGGGCAGGTGCTGGAAGGTCTCGGGGTCCAGGGTCTCTATCTGGTTGAAGTGCAGGTACCTAGAGAGGCCCACACAGGGAGAGCTGCCACGCGGCGCCACGCCCCGGTGCACCGCGCCGCGTGTCCATCTCTCCACGCGAGTGGGCAGACACGTCTCCTTCCTTGGCGAATGGCGGTGCGCGAGGGGCGCGGGCGCAGGCCGTGTGTCCATCCCGTGGCCTCACCTGGGCCCAGGCGCCCCCGAGTGGTGTGG